TGTGTGTATATGTGTGTGTGTGTGTGTGTATGTTGGTGGAGCTGGAAGTTGGATAGATAAAGCAAGACTGGCATAATGTTACAATGTTGATAATTATTGAAGTCAGGGGATTGGTACATGAGGAATTCATTATGTTATTCTCTCTTCTTCTGTGATAAAAATTTTTGAAAATTTTAGAGTCCTCTTATCAAGACTATGTATTTCCCTACTCACCCATTTTACTTTAATTAAAAAACCCCAAACTCATTGAGAATGCTAATGTGAGAGGTATATTTATTTTAAAAAAATCAGTGAGTAGAGAAAGTAAAAAAAAAAAAAAAGTATGTAAAAAAGCAACATCAGTAAAAAGACAGATTAAAAAGAAAGTAAAAAGGAATTCTAGAGCAGAGAAATACAATAACTAAAATGAAAAATTCACTAGAGGGATTTTCAAAGGAAGATTTGAGGAGGCAGAAGAAATATAATAATAACCTATATATAGGACAATTGAAATTATTGAATCTGAGGTACAGAAAGAAAAATGACTACAGAAAAGTGAACAGAACTTAACAGATCTTTGGTGGAAGTCCCACAAGAAGAAGGAGAGAAAAAGAGGCAGTGATTATTTAAAGAATAATGGCCTAAAACTTCCCATATTTGATGAAAGATATGAATATAAACAAGAAACTTGCCCTAACCAGTTTGGCTCAGTGGATAGAGCATCGGCCTGCGGACTGAAGGGTCCCAGGTTCGATTCCGGTCAAGGACATGTACCTCTGTTGTGGGCACATCACCAGTGGGGGGTATGCAGGAGGCAGCTGATCAATGTTTCTCTCTCATCGATGTTTCTAACTCTCTATCCCTCTCCCTTCCTCTCTGTAAAAACTCAATAAAATATATATTAAAAAAAAAGAAACTCAACAAACTTCAAGTAGGATGAACTCAAATAAATCCACATTACAATCAAACTGTTGAAAGACAAAGACAGAATATTGAAAGCAGCAAGAAAAATTGACTATCACATACAAGGCATATTCAATAAGATTGCAAACCTTAAAAGTCAGAAGGCAGTGGGCCAAGTATTGGTGAGCATGTGAAGAAGTTGGACCCTCTGTGTACTGATGGTAGGAATGTAAAATGGTACAGTAAGACGGTTCCTTTAAAAATGGCTAAAATGGAAGCAACCTAAGTGTTGATTCTCAGATGAATGAATAAACAAAATGTCATATATATCAATATCATCTTAAATGTCCTTAACAATAGAATAAAAAAAGGAAAATGGTAAAGAACATAGATACTTAAATACAATGCTATATATTTGAATTCATGTTTGTAAAGCAAATTGGGATGATTGTTTAATGGGTATAGAGTCTCAATTTTTTCAAGATAAGAAGAGTTCTGGAGATAGATGGTGGTGATGACATCATAAGAATATGAATATACTTCATTTCACTGAACTTTACACTTAAAAATGGCTAAAGTTGTAAATTGTATGTTATGTGTATTTTACCACAATTAAAACAAAAACAAAAAACCTCAAGGAAAAGAATAGAAATGGGCTGCTTAGAGAAATCTTGTATTCCACTGAAACAACCTACTCAGAACTAATTATTCATACACCTAAGAATCTCAAATGACCACCCACTTCTACACCCCCAGCAAGCTATATCATTCTTTAAAAAGCACTTGTAGAATATAATTAACTTTTTGGGAAGTGTCAAAACTGATTAGAGAACACCATCATGAGATATCACTCTTAGTTTAAAAGTCTTATCTGCAATGGGAGGCAACGTAACTCATAAACTGTCAACCTAAAGACTGAAGTGTCTGACCTCCATTCTCTCTTCACCTGAAGCCTGTGCCCTTTTTGCAGACACTATAATTTGCATTCCTACTCCTAAGCATCACTGCAGCCAAGTGGTGTGTCCAGCCATGGAAGGCTTGTGACAGACACTCTTCCCAGGCTGGCTGCAAGGATGGGCCTCCCAAATGACTCAGCTCCTTGATCATGCTGCCACGGGGCCCACGGGTCTAATTAGGCTAAGGAACACCTTTAATTAATATGGACTAATCAAGTCAACATAGGACTCAGGAATGTAATTACTGGTGTAAACCAAATTTACTCTTCATCATTACGATGCTCATCAGATGTTCTTTAATTCTAACTTTATACATAATTCTTCTGAAGATCAATGATATTGATGTCATTCAATGTGGAAATATACATTGCAATGTTTAAGGGAAATGTGGCATTATTTTAAACAAACACATCACAGATATTTCTTTTAATTAATTATATTCTGCCTAAATTTTTAAAGTTAGGTCAGTCACAATTTTTTTCAGTATTTAAAGGATCCCACTAAAGATATTTGTTATGAGATTTACCAAAAGCCATGCTATTATATATCAATATATTTTATAAAAGTATATATTATTATATATACATACCTGCATATATATTATGTATGTATATATGTTATAAATGGGCTCCATGGACCTTTAGGAGATTTACTGGTGGGCTGTTGGGTGTGTATGTGTATATTCTTTTGTGGAAAAATGGCCCTTAACTTGCATTTAATTCTCAAATGGCCTTTGATCACCCCCTCACAATCACCATACAAAACTGGTTAGGAACCTACACTGTACTGTCCACATTTTTAGCCATTAGTCACTCATGCCTACTGAGCACTTGAAATGTGGCAAGTGTGAACTGGATTTTGAAGAATATGAAAAAGAAGATATAAAATAAATGACTTATACAGTGATTACATGTTAAAATAATGTTTGAGATACAGTGGGCTAAATAAAATATGCTACTAACTTTATCTGTTTCTTTTGTTTATGTGGCTACTGGAAAATTTAGAATGACATAGGTGGCTCACTATGTTTCTACTGGACAGCACTGGTTTAGGAAAAGTCAAAGTTTGGCCACAGGCATGTTGCTGACTTTAGGACCTTCCTACTAGCAAACAATTTCTCTAATACTATACTTCCAAAATTGGATTCTAAGAGAGGTTTTAACAAAATGTCACCCTGCTCTTAAAAGTAAGAGTTAAAAGCATAGATTTAAACTACTTTCATCCAAATGTTCCCCACAATTTCCTTTAGAGAACCACCAGTTGGGAAGGATTCTGATATCAGCTCTGAACCGCTGACATCCATATTTGCAGACTTCATGTGGTGCATTTTGATAACCTCAGGACAATAATGACTCAAAGCAAACTTTTAAAAGCCCAGAATACATAATGGGAAACATTCATGAAGAAATATCTCAAGGGAAAGTGGAATTCCCAATATTTTAAAAGCATATACCCGCGGAACTTTGATTCGTGAATCTAATGAGTCCCTTACATGGTGCCTATTATCACCCCCATTTTATAGATATGGAAACAGGTTCAAAAAAGTTGTCTCGTTGCCCATTGAGAACAAGAACTCTGTCCTGTTTTCCACAGTGTACCTGGAGGCTAGCACTTTGCCTGGCACATTAGATGTTCAGTATATGGTCACTGGCTAGTAAGAGAGGGTTTACTAATTCCAACACAAGACTGCTTTCTAAAGAGGGTCTGATTACAACATCCTTGCTTTTTTTTTTTTTTTTACAGTACCACATGCTGGCAGAGACTGGTATACATAAGTAATGTAATCTAATGTTAAATCATGCCTCCTAGTTCCTACACATTACAAATGCCAGCTTGACTGGATATCACACCTAATCGGTTGGCCTGGCATTCAAAACACTAAACAAATGGAACATCTTTGTCCCTCATCCAAAGTAATAAAGTACAGAGCAGCGCTACCCTTCACCTTCCGCACAAGGGCCTTAACCACACTCGGTTGCTTCTGCTCCTTGGAGTCTGGGGTTTTCTCCACGCCTCCATCCCAGCTGCCTCTCTTTTGTGTTGGAGAATGCACGGCCAACAACATTCCTGTCTTAAGCTTTACTCATGGGTTAAAAACGAACACTAGATATTAGCTCTCCAGAGCTGAGTCCGAGTTTATCCAGGAATCCCCGTCCTGGGGCGGAATTCCTCCAGCTTTAAAAATTCCTGTTTCATTCAAGTTCTGAGCACGAGCTGAGCCCGGTGCATCTGCTCACACGGACTTGCACGTCCGGGCGCGCTCCCACATACCACGGCAGGGTGAGCCCGGGCCTCTCCCGGAGCCTAGCCTGAAGACACGAGCGGAGGTCGCACCCGGCCTCCACCCCTTCCCCGCCAAACCCCGGGCAATACCTCGTCCGCACGTCCAGAAAGGCAAAGCGAACAGCTTCCCTCCCCTTCCCTTCCCGGTCCTGCCCAGGACGTTCGCTTCTATTTACCGTCTTGTACCACCAGCTAGCGAATGCCATGGTGATAACCGGTTTGCTCTGAGCAACTCGACGCGGGACCCAGCGAGAACTCAGGGTGCGGTGCTGAAGGCGCTGGGCTCCACTCCACCTGCTCTGGGCCTGGCTGGCACAGAGCTCAGCGAGTCCCGCAGCTGTCAGGTGGGCGGGCACCTGGGCTGGGCCGGACACAGGCCCCGCCCCGAACGGGCTGGCCCCGCCCCGAACGGGCTGGCCCCGCCCCCATCTGGCTCCGGGCTGGTAGGCGCGAGGTGTTATTCCTCCCGGCAGCCACGCCCTGCAGCCACGCCCTGCAGCCCCGACTTTACGCGGAAGACTGAAGCCTGGGGTCCAGTTGAACGACCCCACCCACCCTGGGGCGGAGCAGGGGGTCCCGAATGAACGTTGGTCCCTTTCATCCTCATAGCATTTCACTCGTGTCTCCCCACCAACTTTTCCCGACGCGGGCCACCCCCGCTCCGCTCGCGCCACGCCCAGCGCGCTCAGCCCCGGCCCGGGAATCCCTGGCCACCTCCTGCACCTGCCCGGCCCCGGCGGGCCCGAGTCCTTCCCAGAACGGGAGGCGGCGCACGGGGTGGCGGCCAGGCCGGCTACGCCCAGAGGCGGCTGCCCGCGGCTTCTGGGCTGGGGTCCTCCCAGTGCCCGGCCCTGCGGCTCGGACGGGAGCGCCACTCACCTCCTGGGTGCGGCGGGCCGCTGCAGCGCGCCGCGGCCGCGGGGAGGCGGCGGGCTTCTGGCCCGGCTGGGACATGGCGAGGCGGCCACGAGCGCTGCCTCCGGGAGGGCGCAGCGGAGACTGGAAGGGAGGCTGCCCGGGGCGGGGAGGGGCCGGCGGGCGCGCCCGTGAGGCGGCTTTTCCGATCCAGCCTCGCGCCCGTGCAGGGCTGCCCCCAGCCCCGCTGGGCCCTCCCCTTCCTGCCCGCTACGGGCTGTGCGGTCTGGGCCTGAAACTTAACACTCTCGGTCCCGTCTTGGCCCAGTGACCCTCGGCCGCGCACCCCGGCCCGCTCGGTTCCCTGCGGGTCACAGAGAGGAGGGCGGGAGGCCCGAGGGGCACTTGGCCAGACTTGTGCAGTTGTGCAACCGGAGAGCGGGGACCCGGGTGTGGCCGTCTACTTCTGGACTCTTCGCCCTTAGAATCTCGAGAAATAGACACCTTTTCTGCAGTCCGCTTAGCTAGAAGAAGTTGCCAACCCAAATCTGGTCCGGGACCGTGCGGATGGGAAAGCGGATCACAAAAACAAATTGGTCTGTGCGTTTGTGAATGTGCGCGCGCGCGAGCGCCTGCGTCTGCTTTGACATTTTACTTTTTTGGGGTGGGGGTGGGGTGGGGTGGAGCGGGGAGTGGTGTTGCAATTTGGAAATTTTAATAATGTTTTTTGGGAGGAAACTGCCAAATCCCAATCCAAATTGAACAACAGTCCCAAATTGAAGCCGTTTATAGCCTTTCCGGAGCCTGGCGGGTTTTTCTGAGGCTGATTGCTTTTGTCTTTGGCTCGTCTTGCACAGCACTTCCTGGTTTGGGGGTGGAAGTGAAATGTTACAAGCCCGACTAGAAAACGCTCCTCTGCAGAGACTGTCAGCCGGGGTTGTTGCCTGTTTGTGATCAGGCCTGACCGTAAAACCTGTTGCCCTGCAATGGCATTGACGCTTTGTGCCTTGGGTCCCCACTCTCTACAGTGTTGTGTTTTAGGCAGTTGAAGAGAGAGAGGCCAGATTATAGGGAAAGATTTGTCATGCTACAGGGATTTTGGCAGCATGGAATTCTTGCCTTTTCTCATTTAGGGATTCTGATTTCCTTTTATTCAAGAGACTGGCTAGCCTCATTCTTTTTTTTTTAAATATATTTTATTGATTTTTTACAGAGAGGAGGGAAGAGGGATAGAGTTAGAAACATCAATGAGAGAGAAACATCGATCAGCTGCTTCCTGCACACTCCCTACTGGGGATGTGCCCGCAACCAAGGTACATGCCCTTGACCAGAATCGAACCTGGGGCCTTTCAGTCCACAGGCTGAGGCTCTATCCACTGAGCCAAACCAGTTAGGGCTAGCCTCATTCTTAATTGGGAAAGGAAGGAGGGATGATTTAAACGCATTTCCTCTTAAGGTGTTCTACTTACTGCCTAGGTATGCAGTATTTCCAACAAGCAAGCTGCAGTCTGTTGGAATCTATAATAATGAAAGTGTAATATGCTAATTAGATCAGACAGCCAAATTTTGGCTGTCATTCGGACATCCTCTAGACAAAGCCACGGCAGTGGGGGCCAAGGCAGAGGTGGTTAGGGGCGATCAGGCAGGCAGGTGAGTGGTTAGGGGCAATGAGGCAGGCAGGCAGAGTGGTTAGGGGTGATCAGGCAGGCAGAGTGGTTAGAGTTGATCAGACAGGCAGGCGAGTAGTTAGGGGTGATCAGGCAAGCAGGCAGAGTGGTTAGGGAGATCAGGCAGGCAGGCAGTGTGGTTAGGGGAGATCAGGCAGGCATGCAGAGTGGTTAGGGGCAGGCAGGCAGGCAGGCAGGCAGGCAGGCAAGCAGTTAGGAGCCAGTGGTTCCGAATTTCGAGAGGGATATCCAACTGCTGATCCTGCAGGGAGGGGATTGGGCCTAAACTGGCAATTGGACATCCCCCGAGGGGTCCCGGATTGCGAGAGGGTGCAGGCTGGGCTGAGGGACCCCCCCCCACCCCTGTGCATGAATTTTGTGCACTGGGCTTCTAGTTTATACATAAAAGGAATTTATACATAAAAAAATGAAACAACTTGGATATGGGGTTTATGATTGTCATTTTAAGAAAAATTGATTGATGGCATCAATTACATGCATAGTTGGGGAAAGTGTTATAAGCCTGAAAAAATACGTTTCTGATTGTGACCAAACGACAGTAATTTAAGTGAGCAGTAAAACTATAGGGATGAGTGATAGGCAGCCCCACCTCGGGCCCAGGAACTGGAACCATTTTCTAACTCAGGAGCCTAGAGGCCCTAGATCCAGGGGTTTGATCACTGAGAACATTCATCTGGAAGAACGGTTCTCATTAAAGCTTGAGATGTTTTCCTACGGAATATTTCAACTAGAATTTAAACTAATTAGGTTTATATTTCCTGAAAGGCTTCTATGTATATCACTGTGAAAGGAATTGTAGAGGGAGTGATATAAAGATTTAGCCCTGGCTGGATTGCTCAGTGGTTAGAACGTCTGCCCACGGACTGAAGGGTTGTGGGTTCCATTCCAGTCAAGGGCAGGTACCCTGGAAAAAATATCCTTGGGTGAGGATTAACACAACAACAACAACAACAAAAGATAATGAAGATTTAAATACACATTCTCTGCTCTCTAGAGATTTACACGTTAGCTGAAGCCATGTGGCATTTATAACATGTGATCACTTGGGTGTCATTGAGAGACATACAATGTGTGAATAGCACAAATGTGTTTTGGGAGTTGGGGATTCTGTGGATTTTAGTGATTATAGGAAGAGAAAGGAGGCTTGAGCGGGCTGGCTGCCTGGTGGGATGTGGCCTGAAAAAGAAAGGGTTGAGGAAATAAAAAGTGCCCATCCACCTGGCTGAAGTTGCTAGTCCAAGTTCAGGAGTAAGCCATCCATCCATTTATCAAGCAGCTATACTGTGCTCATGAGACAGTTGATACCAAAATCTGGAAGAGATAGCTGGAACTCATATAAGCAGAACATTTGCAGGCTAAATACAGTGCATTGATTTGATGACTGTGAGTAAAGAAAAATTTCAAAAAAGTTGAAGAAGAGGGTGATGGTCTCAGTTGCTCTAATCGTCAGTGAGGAATTTGAAACTTTAATACCAGAACCAGCAGTTAAGTATCTTGGGGAAGCTCCTTTTAAATATATATGGCAACTTTGGCTACATCTCTACTTGCACTTATATATTATAAGGATTTTATCCTTTTATTTGCTCTGTAACAGGATACCTGCGGTGTGTCAGGCTCTGTGGAGGGGCCAGGGACCTCCTACACTCAAGGACCCACAGTCCAGAAGGAAAGACAAACAAACAAATCCACAACAAGTGACCGCAGCTTAGGACTATGGCAGGAACGGTAGCTCAGGGTGCTGCAGGGTCCTGAGGAGGGGCTCTCCATGCTGACCTAGGGGCAGGTGAGCTCGGGGGCAGCTTCTTCCCCCCGGGTTTGACTTGTATGAGTTGAAATCCCCTCCAAGTAATCTCCACATTGTACCTCTTCCTCTTCATCCCTCTAACTGTTCAGGAACTTCTCACTTCTCACCAGGAAGCATGTAAAATGAGAAAAAGGCAGGATGGAACCCGGAGAAGAAGGCAGTGGAGCCCAAGAAGGAGCTCAGCGGGGCAGAAGGAAGCTAATGGAGAAGGGGTGCTAACGGCCAAGGGAAGGGCTGGTCCACAGTAAAAAATAATGTCACTCAAAGGTTGGGTGGGATAATGTATGAAGAGTGTCCTTTTGATCTGACAGCTGAGAGGTTTTTGATAACAGTCAGTGGGTAAAACTGGGAAGGAGACAGTGTTTCTCTGCGGGGCCCGCAGTTTGGACAGTCCCCTTCACTTTGGGTGGTGTTTTTTTCTACCACCACGCACCCCAGGAAGGGGCGTTACCCTGGAGCTTCTGGCTGACATCCCAGTGTCCTCCAATGCCACTGAAACACACTTGTCCTACCTGCCATCTCCAGACTCTCGGTCAACTTTGCTCCACTCCATAGTGACGTTTTCCTGAGTAAATCAGAAAAAAAAAAGAATCCTTGTAGACGGGCAACGACTAATTAGCAAATATGCAAAGCTCTCAGCCTCCTTTCCCTTATGCCATCATGGATCTGAGTAGGAGCTTCATGCATCTGACTGTAGAATGAAGTCTACGTAGTGAAGTTCTCTCCATCCTTGGGGGTTTGGGTTTATGAAAACAAAGGAGAGGAAGGTGCTGGTCAGTTGGAGAATATGTGTAGGCCACCGGAGCCTTGCTCTGTACTATGGTCTGAATGTTTGTGTCCCCCTCAAATTCATAAGTCGAAATGTTAATGCCCATCTCCATGGCATTAGTAGGTGGGGGTGCTTCTGGGGGGTGATTAGGTCATGAGGGCAGAGCTTTATGCCCTTGAAAACAAATGCCCAAGAGAGCTCCCTTGCCTCTCTGTCACGTGAAGAAACAAGGAGACGACAACTCAGAAGCGGGCCCTCACTCAAACATGCTCCACCCTGATGTTGGACGTCCAGCCTCCAGCACTGTGAGAAATGCATTCCTGTTGTCTCTAAGCTCCCTAGTCCATAGTTTGTTTGTTTTTCTATAGCATCCCAAATGGACCAAGACACTGTGCTTCTCAGATCACATGGGCTTGTGCATGGATGGCAGAAGGAGTAGTGGGGAGGGAAGGAGACAGAAGGATGGAGAGACAGAGGCAGAAGAGAAAAAAATAAACTGCAGAGGAAGTAGTTTTAAATTTTCACTACCAGACAAGAACTAACAGACAAGAACTCAAGTCACACACATGCCTATAGTTAGGATCTCAGGTTTTCTGTCTCATCCTTTATGTTCCCTCCAGATAGTAAAACACCTAAAAGTACCTTCAGGCCTATTCTTCAGCATGACAAAATTTCCTGCTTCTTGTCTATGTGGACCAAAGAGGACTGAGATTACATCTTTTCTTTTTCCCCCAGGGATTTATTAAAGAGTCTCTTGGGATTAAATGTCTGCAGAAGGGAGGCGAGGATGGGCAAAGGCAGCAGTTGAGCTGGGATGCCTGTCTAGGAGAAGCCGCAGATAACCTGCAGGGAAGGATGAAATGGCATGCCCTTTAGAGATCGCCTCAGAGATGGCTGGTGCTGGCAAGAAAGGGCCTTTGAAGCTGGAATCAACCAGTCCCTGGATATGATTGAGGAGCGGGAACATG